AAATAACTCAAAATAGATTAAGAACCTAAACCTAAGACCTAAAACTACCAAACTCCTAAGAGAAAAAGCAGGGAAAAGCTTTATGATATTGGACATGGCAAAGACTTCTTGGTTATGATACCAAAAGCATAGGCAACAACAACAAAAAATTAGACCAATGGGAATACATCAAACTTAAAAGCTTTTGTGCATCAAAGGATATAATCAACAGAGTGAAAGGTTAAACTATGGAATGGGAGAACTATTTACCAATCATTTATTTGATAAGGGGTTTGCTATGGTTTCAAAGTTCCCTCAAAACTCATGTTGAAATGTATTTTTTTTTGTTTTTTTAGTTTTTTATTTATTTTTTTCATGTTGAAATTTAATTGCCACTGTTATAGCGTGTGACACAGTGATTACACTGTAACAGGAGGTGATTAGGTCACAGGTGCCTTCATGGATGGATAGATGCAATTCTCACAGAGTGAATTAGTGGGCTGAGGATGAGTTTGGACCTATTTTGTCTCTCTGTCTCATGCATTTGCTTCTGCCTTAGGTCTTCCACCATGGGATAACCCTCATCAGATGCTGATACCACGCTCTTGGACTTCCCAGAACTGTGAGCCAGATAAACTTTTGTTCTTTATAAATTATCCAGTCTTGGGTATTCTGTTATAGTAGCACAAAATGGACTAAGATATAATGATCCAGAATACATAAAAGACTCCTACAACCTCTATAACAAAAGAATCAAATACCTCAATTAAAGAATGAACAAAGGGTTTGAATAGACATTTCTCTAAAGTTGATACACAAATGGCCAATAAATATATAAAAAGATGTTCAACATCACTAATCACTAATGACTAGAGAAATATAAATCAAAACCACAATGAGATGTCACCTCATACGTATTAAGATAGCTGTTATCAAAATAACAGAAAATAACAAGTGTTGGGGAGGATGTGGAGAAACTGAAACCCCTGTGCACTGTTGGCGGGTTGTAGAGTGGAGCAACTGCTATGGAAAAAAGTATGAAGCCTCTCCCAAAAAATTAAGAGTAGAAAAAAAAATTAAGATAGTCAATGTTTTTTTTTTGAGATGTAGTCTTGCTCCGTCACCCAGGCTGAAGTGCAGTGGTATACTCTCGGCTAACCACAACCTCTGCCTCCCGGGTTCAAGTGGTTCTCATGCCTCAGCCAGCCTCCCGAGTAGCTGGGACTACAGGTGTGCACTACCACACCTAGCTAATTTTTGTATTTTTAGTAGAGATGAGGTTTCACCATGTTGGCCAGGCTGGTCTCGAACTCCCGACCTCAAGTGATCCACCCGCCTTGGCCTCCCAAAGTGCTGGGATTACAGGCGTGAGCCACCAAGCCTGGCCAAGATAGTACATTCTATGTTATGGTTTTTTAACCACAACTTTTAAAGAAGGTTTTTGAAAAAAGGACATAAGGAAGGGATGCCCTCTCCCTCAGTTTGTAACTTTTTTGGGGCCACACATCTGAAATCACTATCGCCACCCTATTATTACCAGGGGAACATGAGACATGCTGAGGAACATAAAGCAGAAAAATGTCCTGGGTCTCTGGGCCCATCACTCAACTGACCTTGGAGCCATCTACCTCAGGACTTGTTGTTACGTGACGTGACATCTATTTACTACTGGTTATGCCACTTGTATTTTCTGTTACTTGAGAGCAAAAGCATCTAACAGATGCATTACTATTGCCTCAAAATAATGGGCGTGCTCGAAGAAGCTCCATTAGAATGTAACTTTCAGAGGGTGGGAACTGTTGTCAGCTTTGTTCACTGCTGAGGTCCTGGCACATAGAACAGTGCCGGGCACACAGTGAGTGCTCAATAAATATCTGGTAAATGAATAAAAAGCAAGTTTAGGATCTCTGTTCTCCTACATCTTCTACCTCTTATTCAGTTCCTTCAGGGCTCTGTCACCTACACACGGAGGCCTTCTCTGAAACCCCCAAATCCCTGTCTCTCTAAAATCCTCATTAGGACATCCCGTTACATGTCATCATTGGATACTATATTTTTTCACTATAGCACTTTTTTCTTTTTTTGAGACAGAGGCTTGCTCTGTCACCACCAGGCTGGAGTGCAGTCGCACAATCTCAGCTCACTGCAACCTCCGCCTCCCAGGTTCAAGCAATTCTCATGTCTCAGCTTCCCAAGTAGCTGGGACTACAGGTGCCCACCATCATGACCAGCTAATTTTTGTATTTTCAGTAGAGACAGGGTTTCACTATATGTTGGCCAGGCTGGTCTCGAACTCCTGACCTCAAGTGATCCAGTGCCTCGGCCTCCCAAGTGCTGGGATCAGACATAAGCCACTTCACCTGGCCTCACTGTAGCATTTCTTATAGATGCACTTAATTATTTCTTGGTGTAATTACTCATTATTTGTTTAATGAGTATCTTTCCCACTGGAGTACTCCATCAAAGCAGGAACCAATGGGTGAAGAAACAGTATGTGGGGAAGGAAAAAAAAAGGCAGGAACCAAGTCCTGCTCATGGTTATGGCCTCAACCTCCAGCAGTGCTTAGCACACTGTAGGCACTTAAAAAAATTTTTTTTTCTAAGATATTCAAACTCTATCTTGGCTCTACATGAAAACATAAAAACCCAAGATATAAATTAGTTTTATTGACTATTTAGAATTTTATTAAATTGCTTGAACCTACATTGAAGAATCAAGGGAGGTGGCTGGGCATGGTGGCTCACACCTATAATCCCAGCACATTGGGAGGCCAAGGTGGGTGGATCACCTGAGGTCAGGAGTTCGAGATCAGCCTTGCCAATGTGCTGAAACCCTGTCTCTACTAAAAATACAAAAATTAGCTGGGTGTGGTGGCAGGCTCCTGTAATCCCAGCTGCTCAGGAGGCTGAGGCAGGAGAATCGCATGAACCTGGGAGACAGAGGTTCCAGTGGGCCCAGATCACACCACTGCACTACTGCTGCCTGGGTGACAAGAGCGAAATTCCACCTAAAAAAACAAAGAATCAAGAAAGGTATTATTCACAAAGTTCCCAAGAACTTGGATGAGAAATGGGCTTTTTCAAATTAAGCTGTGGCATTTGGGGGATTTCAAAAGCCCCAAGTAGAATAAATAATTCATAATAGAAAGGATAGAGTCTCTTATGAAACCTAAGAATAGATTTGTAATGTACTTCTTTTAAGGACCATTTTCATCTTCTTGGTTTTGGAACACTCATGTTTGACATTATTTGATTCATCCCTCTCTGCTTCTCTACACAACTGCCACCACTACCCACAAACAGATTTTGCCAAACTGACAATCTCCTTTTTCTTTTTTCTTATATATATATATATATATATATATATATATTTATTTATTTATTTATTGCATTTTAGGTTTTGGGGTACATGTGCAGAACATGCAAGACATTTGCATAGGTACACACATGGCAGTGTGTTCTGCTGCCTTCCTCCCCTTCACCCACATTTGGCATTTCTCCCCAGGCTATCCCTCCCCAGTTCCCCCCCGGCACTGTCCCTCCCCTCTTTCCCCCAATAGACCCCAGTGTTTGGTACTCCCTTCCCGGTGTCCATGTGTTCTCATTTTTCTCCTTTTTCTTTTTTTAGGGACAGGGTCGTGCCACCCAAGCTGGAGTGTGGTGATACAATCATAGCTCATTGCTCAAATTCCTGGGCTCCAGCAATTCTGCCTCAGCCTCCTAAGTAGCTGAGACTACAGGTACAGGCCACCATGCCCGACTAATTTTTTAAATTTTTTGTAGAGATGGAGGTCTCATAATGTTGCCCAGCCTGGTCTCAAACGCCTAGCCTCCAGCAATCTCCCTGCCTCAGCCTCCCAAAGCGCTGAGATTACAGGTATGAGCCACTGCACCCAGCCTGAAAGTCTATTTTTATTGTATTATCTATTCCAACACCACTTATTCATTTATAATATAAAGTCAATTTGTTTGGTAAGAACTATTATTTGCCACTTGAATTGGGACAAGCCTCATTACACTGAGGATTCCTGTAAGTACTTCACAAAATAAGGGGAAAGGGCTGGGCACAGTGGCTCATGCCTGTAATCCCAGCACTTTGGGAGGAAGACGTGGCCCGATCACTTGAGGTCAGGAGTTTGAGAACAGCCCGGACAACATGGTGAAACCCCATCTCTGCTAAAAACACAAAAATTAGCTGGGTGTAGTGGCACATGCCCGTAATCCCAGCTACTTAGGAGGCTGAGGCAGGAGAATCACTTTAACCTGGGAGGCGGAGGTTGCAGTGAGATGAGATGGTGCCACTGCACTCCAGCATGGAGCAACAGAGTGAGACTCGGCCTCGAAAACAAAAAAACCAAAAATAACGGTGGGTGGACGGGGGAAGGACAGACAGAAGAAAAACGTAGAAGAATAAAGCAGGCATGTGGAAACCAGTTTCTACTACTTAAGTAAATGTAATCCAATGTTAAGAGTGTAAACAGCTTAGAAGCATGGTGGGAAAAACCTTTTCCAGGACAATAAATGATAGGTTTGGTGACAACATACATTCTACACTAGCACTGTCCAATACAATGGGCATTAGCTATACACATGGCTACTGACCTCTGAGTAAAAGTAAATCATTCAGTTCCTCCACTGCACTAGTCACACTGCAAATAACAGCAACATGTGGCTAGTGGCTGACCTATTGACAAGTGCAGCTACAGAACGTTTCTGTCATTGCAGAAAGTTCTAATAGACAGCGTGAGTCTATATGTTCCTCCCAATGATTACCAACAGTGGGTGACAGAAGCATGAGAATCACTGAGAGAGCCATGCAGGTGGAGACACAGCCATACTGTAAATGCAAAAGATCTACTTCCCACTGTATCCCACCTGGGAACAAGCTTCTTAAACATAATTCCTCCCTGCCTCCGTTACGGAGACACGGAGTTAGAGTTTTTAAAAAACCTCTGGGTTAAATGAGGGAGAATCTACTCTTTTTCTCTGTTGAGTGATCTGGGCATTGCATGCAAACTTACAGTTTGGTCTCATCTGCCTCTTTCTGCATGATTTCAAGAATCATGCGGCATGCTTCAGAAGTCCCCTCTGGCGTGGCATGGATGGTGACAGGCTTCTCTGCAGCTCCAGAGTTCTCTTTTCTATGGATGTCTACACTGTAGGAAAAGAATCAGGAGCCATAATTACAAGGTCATCTGGACAGGATCCTCGTCCCAAGAAAGCATCACACCAGCCCCTGTATAGGAAGGACACAGACAGACAAGGAGGCATCATTAGCATGTCTGCAACCGATGCTGTTCTCCAGGGAGGAGGCAAGCAGTGCAGGGGGTCTTGTGCCAAATTTTAATTATTTGCAGCTCCATTTAGAAGGGAATGGTTCTTACAGGAGTGCTGTAGGACAAAGGTACTAAGCCAAGTCGGTAATGAAGCCAGTTTGGTAAATGAAGTATTTTGTGTAGTCTTTCAAATGACTGCAGAAGTGCAGAGTAAAGTGAGAAGGAGAATGCTGTACGCTGGCTCCCTGCCGGGCTCGGGACTGATGGCAGCTTTTAAAAGCCATATGTTAATCCAAATCCAAACACCAAATTCAAGCAAGCTTTATATATCCGAGTGCGGATAGAAAACAGAGGCATGCCCTCTCTCTGTCTCTCTAAGTTTTTGGTTTCCTTTCCACTGGCAGCCTGCCGTTAAGACTAATGGCTCCAACGCTTGATGACTTTATCAGACTTCTTTGGGTAGTTGTGGTCCTACCTGTTTTTGTTAACTTTCAAAATCACATAACTGATTCTATCCTTTATTCTGGCTGTTAGAAAGCCTAGAGCCAAGTCTTTGGTTGACTTCTGAAAAATGGGCACACACTTTGACAGCTAACCTCGTTTCTATCGAAACTTGTGACTTTTTTTTTCAAGCTACCTTAAACAATTTTTGGAACAAAAAGACATACATAAAAGTCACTTTCAGAGACTCTGTCTCAAAAAAAAAAGTCACTTTCACAGTAAACTTGGAGGGAAAGTCAGGGCTGATTTAAAAGTAAAAGAAATACCAGACAGCAACCTCCCTATTTTCTCACTTCACTCCTAAGATGCAACGCTCCAGACTCATCCATACCAGTGTCTATTATTTGGGGATAAATAAGACATTTTAAAAAAAACAGCATTTCTGATTTAGGTTACAAAACACTCACTGAATGACCTGAGTGCACTAACACATGTAAATAATTAATATGTATAAGTAACGGAGTGCTTTGGAGTTTAAGTACTTTCATAGTCATTATTTCACTCAATCGGCCTGATTGTACTAATTCTCATAATAATCCTGGCAAAACAGATAGACAGGAAATATCTATCTATTTATCTATCGACAGAGTTTTCTCTTGGAGTTTCGCTCCTGTCACCCAGGCTGGAGTGCAGTGATGTGATCTTGGCTCACTATAACCTCCGCCTCCTCGATTCAAGCGACTCTCCTGCCTCAGCCTCCCAAGTAGCTGGGATTACAGGCATATACCATCATGTCTGGCTAATTTTTGTAGTTTTAGTAGAGATGGGGTTTTACCATGTTGGCCAGGCTGGTCTCGAACTCCTGACCTCAGATGATCCCCCTGCCTTGGCTTCCCAAAGTACTGGGATTATAGGGGTGAGCCACTGGGCCTGGCCATAACCCTCTTTTTACAGAAGCAGCAATTGATGCTCAGGGAGGTTAACATATTTTCTAAAATCATAAAACCACTTAATGTGCTACAACTTAAACATGAGTCTTTGTCTTCAAGTCCTAAGCTTGCCTTATTACAACATGCTATAGTCTTAGGAAGACATAAAAATCAACAACTCCACAAGACATTTTATTCACTTCAACTCCTTAGTCTCCTTGAACAGAGAGGAAAGTAAACAGAAAACCAGTGTGCTTTATTTCTTGCTTGACGTGGCAGTGACTCACCCACTTCTCTGTGAGAGTATCTATGTGGTCACAAAGAATGGCCTCCCCCAGGGCTCTGACTCAGGGAAAGAGGAAGACCTATGAGGAGCGGGTTCTAGGATCCCCCCGAGCGTCCCACCTCTGCTTTTGTAGAAATCGATGCCTTCATAAGCATTCGTTAGCTTATGAACAGTCCTGGCTATGAGATTATCGGGTACCCTCTTTATGAAACTTTAGACTCTCAGGGTGAAAGCTCATTGCAGCCCCCAGCTTGATGTTAGTCTGTTAATAGTCCTGTTGAGAGAAGCCACTATTTCTTACAGCACAGCCCCCACTGCTAATGTAAGCAATTGTGACCTATGAGTGGCTGAGACCCACCAGCACGCAGGGGACCCCTCAGAAGGAAGCAAAGGAAGCCCCAGAGGCACGTACCGGGACTGGGTCTGCTTAGTGATGTTCTTTATGGTCAAGCCCTCCTTTCCGATGATGGCACCAACAAACTGGGTGGGGACCAGGATCCGCAGCGGGAAATCAATCTGTCTGGCCTGAGAAGAGCCCCCAGGGGCGTGGCCTTGCTCACGGGAAGAGTGGTCCCCACGCTGGGCTCGCTGAGGGGGCGAAGGGGAGCTCACCTCTTCATCCGGGATGTAAGAAATCTTGAAGGAGTAGTTCTCAAACTGATGCCCGCTTAGCTTCTCCATGGCTCTGAAAGGCAGCAGGGACAGAGGAGCTTCATCAAAAACCAACATCAAGAAAGGCCCTCCTGCAAGGCTGGCTCATTCACTCCCATGTAATAGGCACCTATATGGGTGCCATGCCAGGCACTGAACATACAGCAGTGAGCAAGGAAGACACCACCTCTGCCCCCTCAAGGCTTGAAGTTAACAGTTAAACAGATAATCACAGTGCATCAGCCTGGCCAGGCTTCATATCCAACATTGCAGCCTGGTCTCCACCACTCAAGGCCATTTCCCCCTTATCAAAAACTCTTATAAATATCAGTATAAAATTATGACTCGGTCGGTGGAGGTGGCTCACGCCTGTAATCCCAGCACTTTGGGAGGTTAAGGCGAGTGGATCACAAGGTCAGGAGTTTGACAACATGATGAAACCTGTCTCTATTACAAATAACACAAAAAATCAGCCAGGCGTGGTGGCGGGTGCCTGTAATCCCAGCTACTCAAGAGACTGAGGCAGGAGAATAGCTTGAACCCAGGAGGTAGAGGTTGCAGTGGGCTGAGACCGTGCCATTGCATTCCAGCCTGGGCAAAAAGAGGGAGACTCTGTCTCAAAAAAAAAAAGCGGGGGGAGCTCATTTTAATCATCATCCATATTACTGAAAATTCAGAAATATGTAAATACAAACAAAATCCTAATCCACTCTCTATCTTAACTGTCTTAAATATAAACATTGTTCATAAAAATGGATTAATATTGTACATATTTTCTAACCTTTAAAAAATAGTTAATAGTCTAAACATTTTTCAATGTCACTGAATATCTTTCAGTATAACTTTTTTCATGTGACTCAACTGCAGTGTCCATATCATTTTTAATGACTGTTTAACATCCTACTGATTTACCATGGTTTCTGCAACTGATCCTTTATAGGTAGATATCTGTTATGTCCAACCTTTTACAGTTACACACAGTGTCACCATTGGCATCTTTGCAACTACAACTTTGCACACAGGACAAATTCCTAGTAGAACTATGAAGTATTGCCCAGTTGTCCCCCAGAACGGTTTCAACACATATGATCCCATAACAGTTTAGAAGACAGCATCTGTGTCCTTGAATCTTCAAATGCACAGAGTACTGTTATTTAAAGATATTTATCAATTTGATAGGGGATAAATGACATCCCACTATTGTATTCTTAAAATGACACTGAAGTGCTGGGCATGGTGGCTCATGCCTGTAATCCCAGCACTTTGGGAGACCAAAGTCGGTGGGTCACTTGAGGTCAAGAGTTCGAGACGAGCCTGGCCTACATGGTGAAACCCCATCTTCACTAAAACTATAAAAATTAGCCACGTGTGGTGGCATGCACTGGTAATTCCAGCTATGTGGGAGGCTGAGGCAGGAGAATCACTTGGACCTGGGAGGCGGAGGTTGCAGTGAGCCAAGATTGCACCATTGCACTCCAGCCGGGGGGACAAAAGCAAGACTTCGTCTCAAAAAAAAAAAAAAAAAAAGGCAAATGAAGTAGAATACCCTTTTCGCATATTTTTAGTAGCATTAATCCAATTTTACTAGATTAATGTTTAGGGCTTGTGAATTTATTACAAAGCAGTACCTTTTGAATTTAATTAGAGCAAGAGAGAGAGTAATATCATGTACAGAGGTCCACCCGAGCAGCAGCTAAAGGCCGTGGAGGTAGTCATTGGTGTGCCTCCACTTCCAAATGTGTACAAGGTAAAAGCTAACACTAAATGAACTATTACCTTTTCCAATGCAAAATTAACATTTTGAAAACTAGCAGCATGAAATGGGTTAAATATCTTTGTATGTTGAAAAAGAACACTATAATCCTGGGATGTACAGCCAAGGTTATGCCACATCCATAAAGCAAGACCAAATGTGAGCATAATTCTAGTTATAATGACCTGACAGACACTTTCAGTACCTCCTACAAAAAAGGAACTTGTTTTTAGTGTTGTTCTTTTAGAGACGGGGGTCTCACTATTTTGCCCAGGCTGGTCTCAAACTCCTGGCTTCAAGTAATCCTCAGCCTCCCAAGTGGCTGGGATCACAAGCACATACCACCACATCCAGCTGTTGTTGATATTGCTGTTGTTTTGAGAGGCAGGGCCTCGCTCTGTTGCCTAATGTAATGGTGCAATCACCGCTCACTCCGGTCTCAACCTCCTGAGCTCAAGCAATCCTCCTGCCTCAGCCTCTCAAGTAGCTGGAACTATAGGTGCAAGCCACCATACCCACCTAATTAAAAAAATTTTTTTTATAGAGATAGAGTCTCCCTATGTTGTCCAGGTTGGTCTCAAACTCCTGGACTCAGGCATCCTCCAGATTTGGCCAAAATGCTGGGATTACAAGCATGAGCCATCATGGCTGGCCTCACTGTTTTTTTTTTTTTTCTCCAAATTCCTGGTTTAATAAGGACTTATTTTGAAGAAAAAAGGTCCCAAACATCAGGCTGTTCACAAAAATAACCCACAGTATCAACTTTAGAAAACAAATCTTAAGACTATAACACTATTTTTCTAGAGGATGCATTTGACATGCCAACTCTCATTCACAAAAATACATCGTTACATTTGTGTTGAACTGCCCCACAGAGCACACTAATGTTGGGGTGTAACACACATACTTCTAACTCAAAGCTGCTTTCAGGAGCTATTCAACTAAATGAGATTGTCTTTGCAGTTAGGGAAGCAACCACTGAACACATGTATGAATGAAAAGAACTGTACTCCCTTCATAACAAGAGATTGTTTTGGAGACAGTTGATAAAAACCATACATCCTTTTTATTGTTAAGTCATAAAGAGGTATCAAAATTAAAAGCAAAAATTACAGGGTAAGACTTAACAAAACTACTAGGAGCGTCAAAAAGGAAGTGAAAATGGGACTAGGCGCAGGGAAACATGAATTAATGAACATGGGAAAGACAAGGATGGGGAGAACAGTGAGCATGTGCTGAAGATACTAGGGGAGAGGATCTGGTGAAAAATTTGATCTTAGACAAGCACCTAGGTAAAGAAATAATGGGATAAGATTTCTAAACCCCACTATGTGCTTAAGAGTCATCCTCGCCATTGGCGCTGTCTCTGTCATCCTCTCCTTCCTCAGCCTCTTTTTCGTCATCCTTGATCAACTCCAGCTGCTCGTTTGCTCTGTTCCTTTTCAATTTTTTCCAGGTTTTCCAGGAGAGAATCCACTTTTTGTATTATCTGGGTCAGTTCCTTCTTAATGGCCTGAAGGTCATCTCCTTTCTTGGAAGATCCCCGCTGTCCACTCTTAGAATTGAAGCCACTTTTGCCCCTTCGTGAGGTGTTTCCTGATACACGCTGACGTTTCGAGGGCACTACAGCCCGAGCAATAGGAGGAGGAGGAGGTACACGTGCTGGGTAACTGTACATCCTATCATAATAATCCCGTTGAAAGTCATAGTCCAAGTCAAAAGAGGAGCCGTACATCTCCGCTGCAGATCGTTTCACACCTGCTTTTCCTCGGTTCACTTTTGGCTCTGCAGCCAGGTTAATATCTAAAACCTGGCCAGCAATCATTCTGCCATCCTCTCCTGCTACAGCAGCCCGGGCATTTCTCTCATTAACATATTGAACGAAGGCAAAGCCCTTATGAATAGAGCAGCCCACAATTTTGCCATACTTCGAAAAGATTGCCTCCACATCAGATTTCTTGACCACGAGAGTGTTGAGATTCCCAATGAACACACGGGAGTTCATGGAGCGAGGATCTGTCTTGTTGGTAACGTTGCTGGCCATTGTGTTTGATGATAAGGTTTGTCACAAAGCCGAAAATGTAGCTGAAGATCAAAAAAATCTCACAGGAGGGAGGAGGGAGAAGAGATTCGATTCTGAGTCTCCTACTCCCGGGTTCTACGTGCAGAAGCCGACTGCTGCTGGAGGTCGGCAACGCGGACACAACCGCTTAGTCTTCGTCTCTTCACAAAAATCGGCCTCACTGTTTTTTAAGAGACTTTATCTCACGTCCATTAATAGCTAAGGTCAAAATTAACCATCTCTGAAGCAATGAATGGGCACTGGAAAGAGGATGGGGATTGGAGAAAAGAACCCAAACCAGGTGCTATCGATTAACCACTCTCAGACAATTCTCTCTGCTGCTGCTGTCACTGAGGTGGATTCCCTCTTAATGTTACACACACAGAACTGATGTTTTGATAAACGCTGTGCTGCTTCCTCACAGTGCATGGAGGAAGCTCCAGGTAAAAGTGGTCCCACATGGTTGGCAAAGCACAGTCTAGGGGACACAGGGTCACAGATGTGGTGCCCTCTCTGCCTGTCCATGTCAAGACATAGCTCCCATCTTGGTTTTGATGCCAAGGTGCAACATTTTTTTAAGTCTCTACACAACCCACAAGTATCCTGGTGTGAATGTGCTGGAGCCCCACTAACATGTCAAAGATGGCAGGAAGGAACACCCTGGAGCTCTACCAGCATGTCAAAGGTGGCTCACACGCCATGGGGCTCCATGGACAAGTCAAAGGTGGCGTATATCTGGCTAACAGAGCTGCGTCTTTTTAGAAAACATTTAAAAACACAGAACTCAATGAAATTCAAAGACAAAACCAAATAAATCTAAACAGAAATAAGCTCAAATGTGCTTACATTTTTGCTTCTTCTCTTGTTGCATATGTGACGTTGACAACGGCAGTTTCTGTGTCCGTGTTGACTAAGGAAAAAACAAAAACTACACTGTCATAGGAAAACACGCTGTCACCCTCTGACTTAATGTAAACAGACAAACATTAGAGAAAAAAATGCACAAAAACCCTCATCGCACTAGCTCCATAGTTACCTACATCTCTACGTCATCCATCTGAGTTCATAGTAACTTGTAATCAATTGTATACAACACATTTGTAATCAATCGTATAAACAACTCAGAACTATCTTTTTCACGTATTAATACTTTTATGTGAGTACTCTGTATGAGTGCATTTTCTTCTTATTTTTCATTTTGAATGTCTACGTAAAACTGCAGTGAGTCAAATGTGCCATGACTTGCTTAACCATTTCCCAACTGAAGGCAACGAGGTTGTTCCCACTATTTGCTATTCTAAATAGTGCTGCTAAAAGTCGCCTTTGTTGCAAATGTCACTGGACTGTGTGTTCTTCTGAATTCCTTCTTTAGGCTAATATCACAGAAGAAAAGTAACGCGGTAAAAGAACATGATGCATATTTTCAGACTGGTCTCCTAGAAGTTTGTATCAATTTACTGCATCACTATCAAGGTATGAGTTTTAATTATAATTTACACTTATTCTTACATAATTGTGTGTATAGATATATAAAACAATAAGAATGTTTTAATGTAAATTCTTCATTCATTGTCAAACGTGAACAATCACTATTTTTGTTTCCCTTTGAACTCTTTGTGTGAGTTAAATCTAGTAACCATGTACAATAAATAAAACTGACAATTCTAATTTACTTGGCTAAAGGTGGAAGTACAAACTCTATGATTGGCTAATAAGGGATTACTCTTGTGAGTTGTCTTATCTTAGATCATAATTTCTTGCCTCTTCTTCTGTAGTTAGAAATTAAAAGTAAATTCAAAGGCCAGACAAAACTATGTTTCCCAAAACAAACAATGGTGATTAGATAAATTCCTCCCTTTAAAACATTTAAGCTGTTGGGAGTTTGGAGTTAACAACAACATTAAGTTAAAGATAATTCAATAAAAGTATGATAAAGCTGCTTTCCAAAGTAATAATAAAACTCTTTAATGTATAATTCTCAACTCTGGACACATGTTTGAGATTCAAGAATTCTATAAACCCCTCCAAAATGATTCAAACTTGTGGAAATGTGAATTTTTCTGGTTTATTATTTTATAAGATTTGCAAAGGGACCCCAAACCCCAAAAAGCTGAAGGACTACTGTTAAAAATACTCTGTCAAATAACTTTAAAGGAGCTGCAGCCTTTCTGGGTTGCGGGAGGTTGTATGTAATGCTCAGAAAGAGCTGCCACTGGGAACTACAGGTCATAAACCCTGAGCCCCGCTCTGGCCTTTGCCCTGAGTGTTCATAGCACGCTTTAATTCACGCTTACCCAGAGAAGTCCTCACAGCACACAACAGGGGAGGTGTAGCCCATAACTGTCCTCGCTCAGTGCTCACACAAAGAATGCCATAAAGCTTTCACATTCGCTGCTTTCTAGTGCTACAGATGAGGCTGTACAGGAAGGGCTGGGTTCGAACCTCCTGAATAAAGCTATCCATGAGGATTCTCAGATTCTGTGCTCACTTCTTAGTCACATTCTCTGTTCTTCAAAGACGTCAGTCTTCACGAAATCAGGCAGTTCTTTGATTCTGTGATGAGCTAAGCTCCATTCAAATAATTTATTTCATTGGACATGAAAGTTCTATAAAGTTGCCTAAAACTCTACTGAAAATATTTTCCTGCTGAATCAGGCATCACTCACGTAACAGGACAAAACAACAGCCCAACAGTTCTATCCTGTCGTTGTCAGGCAGCTGGAAACTGGGGGGTCTGCAGGGCACAGCTGCCCTAAGAGATGCAAACTGCCCCAGGGACATGGAATATATTTTCCTTGCGTAGCAATGTCCTGAGTTTATAATATGGTCTTAACCAGTAACTTTCACAGGTTCATGTCTGCAAGGTCATCTTGCCTACAACATCCAATCATTAGAACGTCCTCTTTTCTGCCCGGCACGGTGGCTCACGCCTGTAATCCCAGCACTCTGGGAGGTCGAGGTGGGTGGATCACTTGAGGCCAGGAGTTTGAGGCCAGCCTGGCCAACATGGTGAAACCCCATCTCTACTGAAAATTCAAAACTTAGCCAGGCATGATGGTGCTCACTTGTAATCCTAGCTAATGGGGAGGCTGATGCATGAGAATCTCTTGAACCTGGGAGGCAGAGGTTGCAGGCAGCAGAGATTGTGCTCCTGTACTCCAGCCTGGGTGACAGAGTGAGACTGCGTCTCAAGGGAAAAAAAAGCCTTGTTTTCCCCGTCAAAGAAAATAAGAACTAAGAAATAGAATTCTTGTAAATCATGTCTTCTTTTGTGAGCTCTTTCCCTTTCCCTTTGGGCATGGGCAGGCAGCAGCATTAAACTGAAAAATGTTTTTATTTTCATGGAGTGAAAAATATCTGAATAATTACGGCCTTAAAATTATTAATTACACCAGCAGACAGAACAGATCGCATATGAGAAAACAGGTTATTTACAATTTTTCCTAAGTGAACTTGAACAATCACGACTTCGCTGTCTACAAATGCCTTACAAAGGTTCTCTGCGGGTGCTACAACTCTTCAGTGACAGAGGAAGGGTAGAGATTTTTTTCTCAATTCTACACATGTGCATACTGAGTCAGTGAGGTTAAATGACTTTGTCAAGGGCTCGACGTCAGTAAATGACTGAATTTACATTCTGTTTTCTAGGTCAAGGCAAAAATAATCTTTATCACGTCCTATTGCCATCAGGAGCTTGGAATCTACTTTTCTGGGACTCTTAAAGAGCTACATAAGATATCGGCTTTAGGTACCATTGTTTTCCTTTTAGAAATCATAGTATTTCATGATTTAGAAGATAAAAAAGAGGTTGGCAGGAAGAAAAGTATCTTCTGGGCATTTGCAGCACTGCTCCTGAGACAGTTGTTCTCAAATCTGAGTACACACAAGTAACATTTCAGGGAGTTGCTTTTTTGTTTTTGAGATGGAGTCTCAATCTGTCACCCAGGCTGGAGTGCAATGGTATAATCTCGGTGCACTGCAACCTCCGCCTCCTGGGCTCAAGCGATTCTCCTGCCTCAGCCTTTCAAGCAGCTGGGATTACAGGCATGTGCCACCATACCTGGCTAATTTTTGTATTTTTAGTAGAGACAGGGTTTGCCATTTTGGCCATGCTGGTCTTGAACTCCTGGCCTCATGGGATCTGCCTGCTTGGGCCTCCCAAAGTCCTGAGATCACAGGCATGAGCCACCATGCCTGGCCTTGGGTGCTGTTTTAAAATACAGATTCAAGAGCTTTTCCCTGCAAGACTCTTACTCAGTAGGTCTGCAGTAAGTCCTAGGAATCTGCATTTCATAAGCACTCCAAGGGATTACTGGTATAGGATTCCTATTCTTTGGGTAACCCTCAGTCCAAGGTGTTAGGGATCTGTTTTTCTTGACCAGGAGGAGGAAAGTAGCCACAGTGTAAATCCAATTACTCCTAAGTGAATTAAGCTTACCCTGGCCTGACAGCGTTTGTCCAGTGCTTGAGCACACTGCACGGTATGTGAAAAACAGCTTGTAAATAATATACCTCCAGAAGATAAACTATATAGACATAGACAGGAAGAGACAGGTATCTCTCAGACATATATGTACATACATATACTCTAGGAAGCTTGTTTCAAAGAAATATGAACTTACTATTTCTCCCTGGAGATGACCCAGCCTTTAAGAAAAAACAGGTAATATCTCCAAAACTCAAAAGGCTAACTTCCTCACTTATTACCTTGTTCCACATTCTCCACTGTCCCATACTGAGCCAAAAGTCCATCCAACACCTAAAAGAGAAGGCTTCCATGTCAGAATGGGAAGGTAAGATCATATACAAAAAATAGTACAGTGGTATCTCCCAGCAAATGAATTAAGGAAAAAAAAAGATGGTTATAGGAATCATCTAATTAAACTGATACTTCAGGTCTTCCATAAAAACAGAACTGAACAAATGTATGAGACTTTCATTTGCTTACTGCCTTCCAAACAATCTGTTCACTAAGGTTACACAGCAGAATTTCAGAGTCTTGGTAACTGTTAACCATCACATTCATCATGATGGCTGGAACACACTACTCTCAACAATGAGCAGCAGAATAAAGTACAAGGTTCACTCTGCTTTCCTGAAATATTTAACAATTATTTTACAAGGATCTCTTCATTTTACAAGGTAATAGGATGTGTATGTTTGAAATTTTCCATAATAATCAGGTTTTTTGTTTGTTTGTTTGTTTTGTTTTTGCGATAGAGTCTGCCTCTGTCGTCCAGGCTGGAGTCCAGTGGTGCCATCTCTGCTCACTGCAACCTCCGCCTCTGGGTTTCAGTGCTGCATTCTCCTGCCTCAGCCTCCTGAGTAGCTGGGAAAGCAGGTGCCTGTCACCACGGCCAGCTAATTTTTCTATTTTTAGTAGAGACATGGTTTCACCATATTGGCCATGCTGGTCTCAAACTCCTGACCTCAAGTGATCCTCCCACCTCAGCCTCCCAAAGTGCTGGGATTACAGGCGTGAGCCACCACTCCCGGCCAATTATCTTTTCCTTTTTTAAAAGTAATAAAAACATTAGATAAAATGTTGTTTCCTTTAAGGTTCTGTGACTTTCTTTGGGTTAGGGAATAAAATATAGGGCAGTTTGTTTTTAAACAATGCAATAAGGCCACTCCCCATATTCTTATTTTAAGGTAAAAATCTTACAAGCTTTACAACTCTGAAAAAAATCTTAACTGTTATAGCAACTAATTCAAAACAAACAAAAATTTGCTAAAACCAACAGACCTTTCGACTTTTGATGCCTTTTCATTGACTTTTTAATCAAATTATAATCTGAAAAGATAAAAATCTTTTTAAAAATCATGAGATACAAGGCAGGGGAACTGCTTGAGCCTACAAGTTTGAGATCAGCCTGGGCAACATGGGAAAAACCTCATCTCTACAAAAAATACAAACGTGAGCCAGGCGTGGTGGTGTGCATCTGTAGTCACAGCTTCTCGGGAGGCTGGGGTGGGAAGATCCCTGGACCTGGCTGAGTGAGCTATGATGCTCCACTGCACTCCGGCCTGGGTGACAAAGTGAGACACTGTCTCAAACAAACCATGAGATACAAATCACAAACCAGGTGTATATATGGTTTCCTGGCTTATTTGCTGGTGCTTGGTAGCATAGTACTGGAAAACACACAACATGGAGGGATCAAAGTACATATTCTATGAAAGGAACAATTATGACCCCAAACTCAAGACTGATCACATACATTAAGGCACTGAAAAGAAAGAGGCAGGACCCAGAGGCTTTGTGGGAAACTCTGAGGCCCTCTAATACCTAAATGTAAAATGGAACTAAAAAAGGGAGAAATGTTTCATTAACCCATCAAAAACTGACACGGGCTTACCTCCCACTGCAGGTGAGGAGGGATGTTTCGAATCTGAATTTTCCTGCTCCTGTAAAGATAAAACCATAGACTATAACACTTTATCCAGGACACAAACTACAGCAAATAATAAAAACAGGCTTAATTAAGCCCATCATTTGAGTTTATTTTCTCACTGTGTTCACCATGACATCAACAAAAAATTCCTACTGTGAATCATGAGCATGGGTGGTTTTTTTTTTTTTTTTTTTTTTTTGTTGTTGTTTGTTTTTTTAAAGACAGAGTGTCCCTCTGTTGCAAAGGCTGGAGTGCAGGTGGTGTGGTCTCGGCTCACTGCAACCTCCGCCTCCCAGGTTCAAGTGATTCTCCTGCCTCAGCCTCCCAAGTAGCTGGAATTACAGGCACGCACCACCACGCCTGGCTAATTTTTGTATTTTTAGTAGAGACAGGATTTCACCATGTTGGTTAGGCTGGTCTTGAACTCCTGACCTCAAGTGATCCACCCACCTCAGCCTCCTGAAATGCTGGATTACAGGTGTGAGCCACTGTGTAGGCTTCATGAACATGTTTTAAGGTTTTCAATTACTTTGAAAAACAAACAAACAAAAAAACCCAAAGCCCGAAGAAATCCCAACAAGATAAAAATTTTTTTTAAAAAAACAATAATTTAAATACAGACTCATCTTTCAATTTCTTACCAAAGTAGTTAGAATTTAAGTCATCATACAGATTCTATTTATAGAATTATCCCCTTCCTCCTCAGCCTGCAAGTGACCCTACCCCAAAGGGTACCTAGGCTCAAACAGGACAGGAGAGGTCAGACAGAGGCTTCGACAAGATCAGATTTAGTTGCCCCCTTATCTAACGATGCAAAATGTCATTTAGAAATATTTTTATTTCTGAATAGGTAATACAGTTCTAATTCAAAAATTAAAACACTATAAAAAGTTATACTGTGAAAAGTCTCACCACCCCCTTCTTTTACCAGAAATAAATACTTTTTACACGTTATTTGTGTATCCTTCAGATTCTTTATGCAAATAGCAAATACGAATACATTTTCATATTTTCCCCCTTTTCTTATAGAAGTATCTGCATATTCTACGCACTCTCTGCATCTTGCTTTTTTCCCTTAACAGTCATATTCTTGAGATCTTTCTATATTGAGACATACAGGGGTCGAGAGCTTCCTCTTTCTGTTTCATAACTACATAGATATCCTGAAGTGTATTTAACCTATCGCCTACTAATAGACATTTGGGCCTTTTCATTCAGAGGCTTTCCCTAAGACATCCTGCCGGTCTGAAAGGTTTGAATGATTTAGATTGTTTCTTGTTTTTAAGTATTAAAATTAAACAGAAAAAAGAACAGTGTAAGTTATGTACATTTTTTAAAAAATCTTTTGAGAACATGCTGGATCCTGGAAAGAAAGCATTTAAACATCAGAGATGTGGTTTTAATAGAAGAGCTTAACACTGAAATCCTATAAATACCCATTTTTGGGGGTTGCCAGAAAAAAGATGTGGGGTGACCATGGTGTACCACCTCGTGGGCTCAGAGGTACCAAAGAGTGGCGGTACACAGTTACCTGCTTCTCCAGGGCTTAAATCTGGGCAATAGCCCCAGAGGGAAATGTTACAGTTCAGGCAGAGAAAGGAGGAGTCGGGCGTGGAAGCTCACGCCTGAAATCTCAGCACTTTGGGAGGCCGAGGCGCGTGGGTCACCTGAGGACGGGAGTTCAAGGCCAGTCCAACCAACATGGAGAAACCCCATCTCTACTAAAAATATATAATTAGCCAGGTGTGGTGGCATGTGCCTGTAATCCCAGATACTCGGGAGGCTGGGGCAAGAGAATCACTTGAACCTGGGAGGCGGAGGTTGCAGTATGCCGAGATCACAACATTGCACTCTCGCCTGGACAACAAGAGTGAAAGTCTGTCTCAAAGAAAGAGACAGACACAAAGAGAGGTACAGAGATGGAAGAAATAAATGGGGAAATAATGAATTAAATGAGGGGCTCCAGGTTTCTCAATTCCTTTTTATGGAATGTCATGGGGACAACCCCTCCGTTCTAGCTCCCACATACTCCTTCAGTATTGTCTATTTTTTAAAAATGTGAATGTATTCGTGCTTTACTAGGGCTACTTTAATAACTATACAGAATCACTAACTGTGTATCCGGATGGAAAGCAGGAAAAAGAATCAAGAACTAATTTCCACCTCTATGCTGTGAAGGCTAATTCCTGACATGGCCCTTGGCAATAGTTCAGAACAAGACTGCCAGCACCCATCCAGTGGCTACATGGAAACTGTCTATGGAAGACGTCACCAAGCCTAATAGTTTGTAGAAAAAGGCATCCACATTTTCAAGAAAATAAAATATTTCTAAAGAAAAATATTTTTGTTATATCCAAATATAAACATTGACTCCAACTGCTAACCAACTATTTACTGGTAGATATTCTATCAGAAGAAACTCATGAATGAGCACAGAGATGTGAACAGAGACAGCTACTGTCACATTATTTGTAACAAAGATTGCATACAATGTAAATATTCACCGGAGATGAATACATATATTCTAATAGGGCCTGATACAGAAAATTATACAGCTCTTAAAAATGAAGTCGACAAGCATGCACTGTCATAGAAAACTCGGCAAGGCTGCTGTTACAAGAAAAGAGGCAATCACAGATCAAGCCGGCCCTGCTTTTAGAAAGCACAAAACCAAACTACCTGTTACTCAATATGTATATGTGTAAATGCACCAAACAGATTTATTTTAGCTACTTCTAATTTTTTAATCTTATTTTCTCCATAATTACACTAGGTATTCTTGAAATCTTCTTATTCTTGAAATCTAATACAAGTAAAAGTCATTCCTCATCCTCACTGCCACAGAACCATTAATTTATTTGGCAAACCCTTCATTCATAGTGCAAAAGTAGAGAAACTCTGCCCAATGCTGACTACCCCAAATACTAACTCAATGTATCTGAAACAATGGCATTTGCCTGTAACAGTTTAACTAAAGACTACACATCAGTTCAGAAACTGGGAATGTCCTGCTTTGTTAAGCTGGACACTTGGAGGAACAATCTCTAAAAAGGTAGACTGTAGCACCTCTAATCTCAGATCGGGATGGAAAGGAAGAAAAGGAACTGAGAACTAAAGAGAGAAATGGAGATCCCTGCGGTAGAACCAACTAGCCTGGAGTTCAGCCAGTCATTTGGGAGATTATTCTGAGGGATTATTTTCTGGGGTCATGAGCAATTAGGACCTCTGAGATCTGCTGACTCCTGTGGCATCATCTGGACAGCATGACTTTTCATCAGGGTACCCAGGCGGCCTGTTCCCTTCTTCCCCAGAGGAACTTCTGCGTGTCCTTCAAAACGCAGCTCACGTATAACCCCTACTGAGCTTTCCAGAACATCTCCAGAAAGAACTGTTTCTTCTGTACTTTTCAGCTTCTCTGGCAGCTCACTCTTTGCTATAATTACTTATCTGCTAGTGCTGTCCCCTCAATCCCCGCAGTGATTTCCTCAAGGGCAGGTTCCTTGTTTATGATTCCACTGTCTGGCTCAGAGTCTTGTACACAGGGGCTAAGGGCACTTCTGCTGCTGGCCGTGGTCTGTTCACGATGAAGGTCCTCCTGACTCCACCCAGGAAAACAAATTGTCTCTTTTTCCCTTGCCAGGTAGTCAACAGGGGAAGGAAGGAGGTGTTCGCTTCCCTCTTTAGACAAGAAAGGAAAGTATCTGGTTCAGTCTCAAATGAGAATATGAATCTTTCTCCCTAAAACTGTGCTGTGCTTTAAAAAAGCCAAACACATAGTAACTTTGGAAAGTGGTTGGTAATAGGAAAATAATTCTTTGTCCCTTAAAAAAATAATTTCACAGTTCATATATATATATATTTTTGGAGACGAAGTCTAGCTCTGCTGCCCAGGCTGGAGTGCAACAGTGCAATCTCTGCTCACTGCAACCTTCACCTCCTGGGAAGTGATTCTCTCAGCCTCCTGAGTAGCTGGGATTACAGGGGCATACCACCACACCTGGCTAATTTTGTATTTTTAGTAGAGACAGGGTTTCACCATATTGGTCAGGTTGATCTCAAACTCCTGACCTTGTGATCTGCCCGTCTTGGCCTCCCAAAGTGCTGGGATTACAGGTGTAAACCACTGCACCCAGCTAGCTGTTCCAGTACATTAAAAAATGAAACCAAGCTTCTGTAATTATAGGTAAAAGCCATTTTTTATCCTCATTGCCACAGAACTATTAAAGCCATCTTCCCAGCTGTCCCTCCTCCGTCTTTGGCCTGCACCTCCTCCTCTCCCATCCACTCCTCGCCTGGCTGCCAGTCATTTTCTAAACACAGGGAGATGGCTATTCCTGCCTTTCTTGACTCCCTGGTGCTGCCTCTTCCGCATCTCTACCTTTAAACACTCCTGCCCCTCCAACCCCTTTCACCTGTAGTTCACAAGAGTGCCAGAATGAGCCTTCAACTCCCTCAGCTTACCTTCGAACGGAAGGAAAAAGAGCAAGGCCGGGCACAGTGGCTCATGCCTGTAAGCCCAACACTTCGGGAGGCCGAGACGGGCAGATCACCTGAGGTCAGGAGTTTGAGACCAGCCTGACCAACATGGAGAAACCTTGTTTCTATTAAAAATACAAAATTAGCTGGGCATTGTGGCATGCGCCTGTAATCCCAGCTACTCAGAAAGCCGAGGCAGGAGAATCGCTTGAACCCGGAGGCGGAGGTTGCAGTGAGCCAAGATCACACCGTTACACTCCAGCCTGGGCAACAAGAGTGAAACTCCATCTCAAATAAAATAAATACAATAAAATAAAAGGAACATGGCTTTATTTCACCTTCATTTTAACTGGAAGCAGAATGAGACCTTACGTCAAGCAAACAGTGCTCTTTAATACAAATATATAGGCTCTTTCTCTGTGGCTCTCAGATTAAGGAACTCAAGACTTCCCACTCTTATGTTCAGGAGTGTGGAAAAGGGCCTCCTACCAGGAAACTCGTAATGCTGCCCTAGAGCCATTCTGCTTGGCTGGGGAA